TAGCACTTTGCCATTGACACACCTCTTCCTCCCGTGGCCAATGAGCCTGCTGGAGAAAGGGAATCGGGGTTATAGAGGGCTCCGGCCCCCTCAGCCTGCCTGCTCCAAGACACGGGGGCTGCTGGCAAACGGCAGCCTGGTTTGCCAGGCCGGAGCCCTGTGGGGAGGACGAGCCCTCCTGTCTGGCGAGGCTGTTTTGCGCACGGCGCAAGGAAGGGCCGAACGGCGCAAGCTCCGGCGTTTCACGGGTCACAGAGCCTGGGGTGCTCGCCCCCGGCCGGCTGGGCTGCCACACGGCACCAGGCCTCGGCCAGGCTGCCATGGAGACGGACCCGTCCGACCTGCACACGGGGGAGCCTCCGGGGTGGCCGGGGGACTACGTGGAGTGGGGAGAGGCGCTGGGCCAGGCCTCGCCCAGACTGCGTGTGGGATGTGCTAGGAGGTGGGGCCGGCTCCCATTCCCGCCTGGGGTTGCCGGGTTCTCTGGGCTCCATCGTCCTGGTGATTGGCGTTCACGCCCCAGAGCCTGGCTGCTCAGCGTCCCAGAGGCTTGCCGAGTCGGGGACAACTCCCGTCCTCTCGCCGCCGTGCTGCCTGCGCTCCTGTGCCAGGGTCCGGCCAGGCCTGCCCCGCAGAAGTGCTGCGGGTCGGGATTGAGGGGCATCGGCAGAACTGCCTGGCACCAGGACTCCCCCTCGTCCCCAAGCTGTGTTGGAGTCCATGCATTCCCAGCTGAGCCAGAAGCCTGGAGCAAAGTGATGGGGGCGGGCAATGGACTCCCAGCTCATCCGGGCAGAGGCCCGCCAGCCCCACGGGGTGGCCTCTCCCAGCACGCTGCTCCGGGCAGCAGCTGCGAGGCCACAGCTGAGAGCCCCCCCTCGCTCCTGCATCCGGCTGGGCAGTCCTCTGTGCCGCTCGCGCTAATGCTCGCTCAGCCCTCGGGTGTCCCTGGGGCAGCGCAGCGGCTCAGCCGGCTCCCTCTCGCGCTCTCCCCCACGCCGGCCTTGCGCCACGGCGCGGAGGACGCGGAGGGGTCAGAAGCCTGGATCGATGCTGCTCCAGACACGCTCAGTGGAGCCTGCTGCTGGGCGCCGCGCTGACAAAACACCCCTGTTATCTAAAAGCCGCCCTGGCTAGTCCAGATCAGCTGGGGCCATGTGACTGCCAGGGAGCTGTTCGGGCGAGGGGGGCAGGCCGCGGGGGGGGGGGGA